TCCAAAAGGCAGGTACCCTGGATGGATTATAAAGGCACAGAAAGAAGGCAGGCTGCTGCTTCTACTCCTGTTTCTTGCTGTTTGATTGCCTTCTCCCTGCCGAGAATTATTTCTCTGTTGTGATGCCCCTCTGCCATGCTACACTGCCTCAGAGCCAGCCGACTATGGACTGAAACCTCTACACACTGTGAGCTACATAAACCTTCCTTCCTTTAACTTTAGGTGTCAGGTATTTTGTCTCAGCAAGAAGAGAATTAACTAAGACATGCATCTGAAAGAGTAGGGTCAGTTCTAAAAGTATATCTAAAGAGATATCTAAAATATTTAGCAGTTCAGCTGAGTGTAGCGGCTCATGCCTGGAATCCCAGCATTCGGAAGGCTGAGGCAGGAGGATTGCTGTGAGTGTGAGGCTAGCCTGCGCTATATAGTGCGTTCAAAGTTGACCTGAACTACATAGGGAGATCCTATCTCATAAAACAAAAAACAAAACAGAACAAAAAAGAAGTAGCAGTTACTATGGCACCAACCAAGATTGCCGTAAAAGGGTACTTGAGGCCTTCGCTGGGGTGAGTAAACCCTCTCTGCAGCTGGGGCAGTGTCCTAGATGGGACGGAGGCCATGGCTGGGGGGCACTGGGGCTCACTTCATTGCTATTTACCGGTTGGTAAGAGAATCCTGGCACAGTTCAAAAATTCTGTGAATTCTCTTCACAGTCAGGAAAAGGATTTCACAGTCAGGGAGCCTTTCCTGGACGTCGTCGTTCACCACTGTCTGATCAAGCGACTGCCTCTCTCCCTCCCCCGCCCCACCCGGCCTCCAGCTTCACAGCATCCAACCTTGTCTGACTCTGAGTAGGTTTCCTGGATCACCGTCTCACTCTCATCCATGCTTAGCTCAGTGTTGTCTGCCAAGGTCCTGGACGTGGCAAACAGCACGGCGTCGTGGAGGGTGAGGAACAGGTGGGCCTTGGAGATGCCCTCGTCGAAGAAATCATTCTTCTCAAATGCGTTGATCACAGAGGCTGCAAAGCAAGCCCGCAGCACGTGCAGGGTCAGGTGCCCGCGGAGCTGGGCCCCCGGGGTGCAAACGCAGCCCTCCCCCAGGGAGAAGCGTACTCACAGTGACAGCCGGTGAAGAGCACCAAAATGTTGGCATTTTGGAAAGCATTGCAGATCTGCAGGGGCAGAGTAAGTCGTGGTCAGGGGGCTTCCCCCTCCCGAGGAAGGGGATGTCTGATTAGCGGAGTCTGAAACCCCTTTGGTGGGCCGGGGCTGTAGCTCAGTGGTGGAGCACTTGCCCTGCGTGTGTGAGGCCCTGGATTTCATTCTCAGCACCGTGAAAAGGTAACAATAAAAATAAAACCACCCTGGGGCCATCTAATTGTCAGGAGCCCAGGTACCTTCGCCTCCCAATCTTGCCTTCCAAACACTGGCTGAGGGGACCTCTGTGTGCCAGAACACGTCCAGAGTGCTGGGGACTTGAAGGAAGGATAAGACCAGCACTTGTGGGGCCAGAAAGGGAAGTCACATAAAACAAGAACACTGCCGGGTATGGTGGCACACGCCTGTAATCCCAGCACTCGGGAGGCTGAGGCAGGAGGATCTTTGTGAGTTCGAGACCAGCCTGGGCTACAAAGTGAGCTCAAGCCTGAACTGCATAGCGAGACCCTGCCTCAAAAAGACAAAAAACAAAAAAAAAAAAAAAAAAAAGCAAGAACACTGGCACAAGGAAAGCCCAAGGGTGGCAATGGGCACAGGTGCCATAGGGTACCCTGGAGTGCTGGCAGGAGCAGTCACATCCTGCGGTTAGTACTCAGTATTCGTCACTGACCCTCTGCTCCCTGGAGCTTGCCAAACAGAGGAGGCAAGGTAGGGGCCGGAGATGGCCAAGGGATAAGCAGGTAGGGGAACTCAGTCCCCTTGCACGCTGCTCTGCGCGTTTGCATGTGACTTTACGTCAGATATTTAGTACGGGAGAAGTAAGCCTCAGAGGCTGGCCTTAAGTGGCCTTCAGCCAGTATATACGCTCTGGGGCAGCAAATCTTGACATCCACTTCAAAGCAAACTAACGCTAACCTTAACCCTCAGAATGGAGCCAGGCGTGGTGATGCAGGCCTGTAATCCCAGCACTCGGGAGGCTGAGGCAGGGGGATCTTTGAGAGTTGGAGACCAACCTGGGCTGCAAAGTGAGCTCAAGGCCAGCCTGAACTACAGAGTGAGACCCTGTCTCAAAAAAAAGACAAAAAAAAAAGACAAAAAAAAAAAGAGAGAGAATGGAGTAGACTTCAAGGAAAAAATCAAACAGCCCCTGCACCTGTCAATACCAGGGGAAAACAAGAAAGTTATTCTTGGTCATACAGTAAACCATAAAATCATCCGGCAAAAGCAAGGCCACAGCAAATATTCTACGTCTCAGGCAATGGGAAAGAGAAACTTCAGGAGTTAAGAAGCAGCTTAGCTGGGTGCAGTGACACATGCCTGTGATCCCAGCACTCGGGAAGCTGAGGCAGGAGGACCACTGTAAGTTGGAGGCCAGCCTGGGCTACACAGTGAGCTCAAGGTCAGCCTGAACTGCAGAGTGACACCCTGTCTCAAAAAGACCCCCCCCCTCAAAAAAAGAAAAAACAACTTAAACTGAGTAGTCTCCAATGTAAATGGACTAATGGGGTTTTTAGTAGGATGCAGTTTTTGATTATAGGTCAAATAAAACGTAATGAATTCCTCTAATGAAGGCCTGTACAGAACACTTCCGAAGGGAGCGATGAAACCTGTGTTTTCAGGGTGTAAACGTATACCACAGGTGCCTTTCAGCTGGAAGGTAAAGAGGTCCAGCACGGTCCCCATGGGACTGGAACAGAAAGTCACCCACTCAGGCCAGGTCTTTCCAAGGACCGAACTACCTGGAACCGAAAAGGAGACAGGAGAGGAAGGTATAACCCTCCTATGGCCACGGAGGGAAAGGGCGCCATGAAGTCAGACACTGGAGTCCGCATGCCAGACTGACCCCTTATCAGTGTGAGCCTCAGTCTGCTGCGAGAACGAAAGGAGAGGCTGTGTGCCCGTGTAAGCAGGCATCCTGATGTGCGCTGGGTGACATCTAAGCTAGACACTACGGCACAGGCCTGAGAGGACACAGCAGCTCAGTGCAATGACGTAAGAGCAAGAAGCTCCTGAGACAAGAGACGGCCCGATGGCTTGGGTGTGAAAATGGCGCGTGGGGGTGGCTGGGTGGGGCATCTAATGGATGGGAAGGTTCTCGGTGCGAAACTCTTCCAAAGCTCTCCTCCTACAGGTGAGAAACCCAGACCCAGTGCTATTTGTAGTCACCCTGGGTTGGATGGACCGGGAGCCGCACAGCCAGGACGGCACACGTGTCCAGGGTTGGTGGCCAGGGTTCCTCCCGCAGTGGAAAGCTTCCGGGGCCTCAGAACAAACAGCAGCCTGACTCACTTAACTGACAGTCACAGTCCTTTAGGGGGAGGGAGGCCTGAGAAAGTAGGATCCAGAGGTAGGAGAAGGCAAACCAAGCAAAGGAGCATCTCTCAAAAAAGGGTGGGTGCGCTCAGAACTGGGACGTGGAGGGGCAGAAGTCAGACAGAGCGCTATCAACAGAGACAGGCTGGCCGGGCCGAAAACACGCACTGAAACCATTTTGGTTAACTGTGCACCTGAGAGGTTCGAAGCAGGACACGGGAACTGTCGGAGAACTCAAGAGCAGAAATCAGGACCTGGGGACGGAAGCTTTGAGTGAAAATCGTCTTCCCTGTCCTTTCTCATCTAAAGACGCTGGAAGTAAAGGGGAAAGTGGGCAGGGGCCCGCACCTGCTGACAGGCAGCCCAGGTGTGAGGTGTCTTGTTTTTTTCTTTTCTTTTTTGACAGGGTCTCATTATGCAGTTCAGCCTGGCCTTAAGCTCACTTTGTAGCCCAGGCTGGCCTTGAACTCACAACAATCCTCCTGCCTCAGCCTCCTGAGTGCTGGGATTACAAGTGTGCACCAACACGCCCGGCTTTTTTTTTCTATATCGGGAATCAAACTCAGGACCTTGCACTTGCCAGGAAGACGCTTATGCCGCTGAGCTATATCCCCGGCCCTGTGAGGTGTCATTTTGTCCTAACTTCTTCAGCTCTGAGTACAGTCCTGCCAGTACCTTGTTACAGTGCCTGGCTCAGAGCAGCTAAACAGCAGAGGATTCTCAGTGCGCTTGTTTCTGGGCATTTGAACCCGCCCAGCAAATCTATAAGGATGTACTCGAATCACACAGTGAATATAGCACACAGTTCACTGCTCCAGGAGTGTTGCGTTTCCTGGGTTTTTTCGTTCCCATGAGAGACAATAAAATGGCCCATGCCTGTTCAACCAAGTGCTGCTCAACAAGTCGGAGCTGGCTCGTTTTCCTTTTACTGTGACTGCCCTCACCCCACCTCCAGTGCCCAATTCCTAGTGACCTTGCAATCACACACTGAATGCATGAGCGAGGGGGTTCCGTGGGGTTGGCGTGGGCGGTGGGAGGGAATCAGAGGTTGTAGTCAAGCCTCCCCGGGACTCACCTGTCTTAACACGACCAAGCCCTGATAATCCACATAGTGCACCATGGACAAATCCAGGATGATGGTGTGGGTCCTGGGTGGAAGGGTCACCTCAGAGGGAGTGACGTTCAGTTGTGTCTTCATGGGAGTGGCACTGGCGTCCTGCAGCGACGACGCGTTCTTCTGGAGGGAGATGCTGGAAAGCCAGCCTTGCCTCCGGCTCTCGTAGCTTTGCTCGGGAGGTCTCTTAGATCTGGAAGGCACCGCACCAGGCGTTTCCTCATCAGGCTCATCCAGCATGCTCTGGCTGGGGCTGCCGGGCTCCACGTTTGAACAGCCGATCAGGTGGATGGAGGGTGACTCCAGGTCTGCTCTGTATCCAAATCGCTCTGTGTAGGCCACCTGGGGCAGGGGAGGGCTCAGGTGAGGCTCAAGCCCAAGCCGCACCGGATGTGTCTCCGAATTCATTTCCCTCTCACGAAAACGCTCTCCAGTCCCGGTACGATTGGACATTTTTTAAAACTTGGATACCTTCCTGTCACTTCAAGGTTATATTCAACCTTCCTCCTCCTCCCTACCACAGTATCCCCCTCACAACTGCCCGTGCCCATCGGTGACGTCATTACTGTCCTGGTGAGCCAGACTTGAAACCATCTTTCACCGATTCCTTTCCTTTATCCCCGTGTCCGTATGAGTCTCCAGTACCAACTAATACTGTGTGTGAAGTGCCTTTTCCTATTAGGCCCCCTTCCTTTTTAAATCTTCTGCCAGGGCCAAGCGTGGTGGCGCACGCCTGTGATCCCAGCACTCGGGAGGCTGAGGCAGGAGGGTCATTGCGAGTTCAAGACCAGCCTGGGCTACAAAGTAAGTTCAAGGCTAGCCTGAACCACATAGTGAGACCCTGTCTCAAAAAGACAAAAAATAAATAAATAAATAAAAATAAATTTTCTGACAAGTTTCCTAAGAAGACAAAATGTACTTAAGCGGGGTTGACATTGTCTCTCACTTTTTTCCATTCCCTAATAGGCCCAGAGAGTGCCTGCTAAAGCTCAAGGCCAGTACCGAGGACCAGGAATGCAAGGACGTGCAAGGTGTGCACGAGGGCTGTGCTCACAGAGCCCAGGCTCCTCTGGAGAGGAGGGCACTTGTCCAGGAAGGGGATGATGAACATGTGTGGACGAGAACTCTACATACATGCAAACATGAAAAGAATTCATAAAAAAAGAAGAACCAGGATATATCATGTATAGGTACCAATTCCCTATGAGGAATGTGATCATTATGTATATCTAAATTGTACCAGTAAACTTAAAGAAAAAGGAAATAATTCACTTGCTTTTAATTTTTTTTTTTTTTTTTTTTTTTTTTGGTCTTTTTGAGACAGGGTCTCATTATGCAGTTCAGGATGGCCTTAAACTCACTTATGGTCTGGGTGTGGTGGTGCATGCCTGTGATCCCAGCACTCGGGAGGCTGAGGCAGGAGGATCGTTGTGAGTTCAAGACCAG